AAAAGTTAACATCAAAACGCTGGGACTATGCGCTGGCAAGCTCAGGCCCTGCCAGGTGCCCAGGGCAGCACCCTGCTGCCTTCTTCCACGGTGCGACCCCCATCCTGTCCCATCATTTACTAATCACTAAGCAAGTCTATGTCCACTGCTCTGGGAAAGCATATCCTTTGATAGCTATTGGCAACCAACTGAATTGTTACAGTTGGGCTAAAGTCCTTCCTTCTATGGAACTACCTGGTGTACTATATAGGTATCTGCTCCATTTTTGGAGTTTTCATATGTCCAAGTTGGGATGTCCATTTCTCTTACTGCTCATGTCAGTTACAGTTATAGCTAATAAGAATTTCTAATTTTATTTTGTTCCCCCCACCGACACCCTGCATCTGGGCTGAGAATCAAACCCAAGGATAAGCAGGCAGTGTGGCATTCTGTTCTTGAGCTCCCCACCCCCAAGCCCAGAAGTTCTAATTTTCTAAACCTGCAGTGCTGAGATCAAGTTGGAGAGCAGCAGTTAATGAAAACTGCTATCTGGGAGGCTTTATTTGCCTAGAAGTCCATTATTTTTAAACCTCAGGCAGTTTATTATATTATAAAACGTCATTTATTTATTCCATTAGAATATGCTAACTGGGAAAAAAGAGTATATAACAGAATATAATCCCTTATCATATAAACAAATATTGAGAGATAATTTAAGAACCATACAGAATTTGATGTGCATGAGTGTCTCTTCTGTGAAGTTGCTTATCTTTGAGAATTACAACTTGTTCAATTGAAGAACAAGTATGTAATATAACAGCAACTAATATTGACTGCAGTCACTGTGTACATACTGCCACAAGCTTAATTCATTTCCAGGGGGTCTCTCCACTAAGGTCTGCGAGAGCCTAGAATCTTGGCAGGCTGGAAACATGGAATTTTGTCATTCATGCAACTTTAGAATGCTGGACACACTTCCCATTGCATAAGAAGCCACAGCAAAAGTAAAGATGTTTACTTTTGTTATGTGTTTTTGTTTTATTCTTGTGACCCATTAAGCACAACAAAACTACAAAATTGCTCTCCCAAGATGTGCGCATCCAGGAAGCTGAAGATAGAATCAATCAACATTTTTTCTACTGATTTTTCATGGAAGATAAACGTCCTACCACTTTCACCTCCAAGCCTAAGCAGTCAGACTTTTCTCACCCTAGCAAAAAAACAGGCTAGTCAATCTTCCTTCCTCCACCTCATTCTTTGACTGGAGCTCCTTCTGTTGTTCCATCTTGATTTTAGCAATCAAAGTCATTGGCCATTTTTGATTTCAAATGCTTCAATAAGGAAATTTTAACATGTTTCACTCAGGCAACCATCTAAAGATAAATTAAAATTATAGAATTTCACAAAAAAAAGATAATAATACAGCTTCACAAAAAAATGGTAATAATAGAGCTTAATATTCCTCATCTTAAAGGATGGTGCCTGAAGCATTTCAGATTTGGGGTTTGTTTAGACTTCTTATAGAAAATGGGAGCTTGGGGCTGGGACCCAAGTCTAAACACCAAGTGCATGTGTTTCATATTCACCTTATATGCATGGCCTAAGCATGGCTTTATAAAATATTTTAAGGAGTCGTCGTTTTGGCTGCAACCCATCACAGGAGGCCCGGTGTGAAATTTTCCACTTGTGGCATCAGGTCAGTGCTCAAGCACTCCCCCCTGCTGACCAGAAAATGCCGAGTAAGTAACTTCTTCCAGTCCTCACTTCATCCAGAAAGGACATTGAGACTGTCAGCTCAGGCATTCACCTTACAGATTATTGAGGCAAACTACCTCATTTGAAAGACCAAGAAATCAAGACCCAAAGAGGTCAAGGCACTAAGACATGGGCCAGATCCGGCCAGGCTGCGTGGCTGGCAGTCGGGCAGTGCTCACTCGCCTCCCTTCGCAGGCCAGTGGCAGAAGGAGAAGGCTACAGAGGCAGTGGCTGGGGATCAGACAGGGCAGCGGATCTGAACTGGAGTGCATCTGCTCCCTGTCCAGGTCACTAGGGGCGGCCTAGTCATCTTCATCAATGAGGAGGCCCAGAGCACCACTGGCTGCACCTGGTCACTGGTGAGGCCATGGTCACTGGACACCAGTGGTAGAGCACAGATTGCCTACTGGCTGGGAGGGAGCATAGACTTTTTTTCCTGGGGTGGGGGGAGGTCAGTCCCGGAATTGAACTCAGGAGCACTAGACACAGCCACATCCCCAGCCCTAGTTTGTATTTTATTAGAGATAGGGTCTCATTGAGTTGCTTAGGGCCTCACTTTAGCTGAGGCTGGCTTTGAACTCCTCATCCTCCTATCTCCCCCTCCCCAGCCCCTGGGATTATAGGCTGCACCACTGTGCCTGGCTGAGGAAGCATATACTTTCAAAGGTGCAAGAACCTATCTAATGAGAGCTAACCCAGACTTGCTCTCTGAAGGAGAAAGAAATGCAAGCAAATGAGCAGAAGCCCTCAAGGTCTCTTGAGGTCTAGGCTCCCAACTGGGGCACTGTCACTTCTACCACTTTCCCTTGGCCGAAGGTAGTCATGAGGCCAGCTCAGATTCACAGACTGGAGACATAGATTGCTTTTTTTGATGGAAGAGGTTGCAAAATCACATTGGAAAAAGTTGTAGATTCAAGGAGGAAATAAAAACTGGGGCATTATTTTTGGAATCCATATAGCATATGTTGAAAAGATTAGTGAACCCAGCTGAAGTGTGATTCCTCTATCTCAGATACCAGGATTACACTTGGTCACAGGCACAGCATTGATCATATACTCCTTTGATTATATAAAAAATTAAGTGGACACGTGTAAAGATTCTTTTATTAAAAACTAAAATAATTTAAAAAAAAACAAAACCAGGGTTTGAATCCAGGGGCCCAAAACCACGGAGCTGCATCTGCAGCCATTTTTTTAAATTACTCATTTTGAGACAGGGTCTCTCTGTGTTGCTTGGGGCCTCAAGAGGTTATTGAGGCTGACATTGAACTCACAATCCTCCTACCTCAGCCTCCCGAAGCATCTGCCACTATGCCTAACTGAAACATAATTCTTACTCCTGTAAAATAAGGTGATTGGTGATTGACTGAATGATTTTTAGGCACGTGTAGTCTTTTTGGTAGTTTTTGTTTGTTTGGTTTTGGTGTTGGGGATTGAACCCAGAGGCACTTTACCACTGAGCTACATCTCTTATTTTATTTATTTGTGCATTTTAAGACAGATTCTCACAAGTTGCTTAGGGTCTTGCTTAAGTTCCTGAGGCTGAACTTGTGATCCTCCTGACTCAGCCTTCCCAGTCACTGGGATTATAGGCGAGTACCACTGCAACCCAGCTATTTATTGATTTTTGATTCTCTATTCAGCTGGTCTGAGATTCTGTCAGGTAGTCAAGGCCCACAATGGGCCTGAGGGCTTCTATTTGGGGGGTGGAGAAGCTGAGTTTCAGTTTGTTACTGAAGCTTTTAAGATGACCTCCCTGTTCTGGTGTTAAGAAAAAAAAATATCTACATGTTCAGGACAGAACCATTAAAGGCCTAACTGAATAGCACATGAACAAGGCTCAAGGTGCTGGAGAGACCAAGGATCTCTGAAATGGCAGAAGGACTACAAGTCACCTCATTCACATAGATTCACTTACTGCTCAGTGTGAGGCAAATTAATGTTGGGAATTTAAGAACTTCCTGGGAACCCCTCACCCTATACTTCCTATCTACAGGTGAGTGAATCTGTGGATGCTGAACCCACAGATATGCAGGACTGACTATATGCTCATCTAACAGCTTTGTGTTTGAACTGGAGTTTTCTTTTTCAGAATATTTTAAATATTTTTTTCATTAGAAATGACATTTGTAAACTATTTAAAGATATAAAACATTAATGATCTATGCAAATACTAAAGGATAATGATTTAATTAATGTATGTAATGCTATTTGTTAAGTACTAAGTCAAATCTAAAATGCCAAGATCAAGATTAGGCTGGGCCCAGTGAGGCACAGCCATAATCCCAGCAGCTCAGGAGGCTGAGATAGGAGAATCAGGAGTTCAAAGCCAGCCTCAGCAACAGCAAGATGCTAAGCAACTCAGTGAGACCCTATTTCTAAATAAATACAAAATAGGACTGGGGATATGACTCAGTGGTCAAGTGCCCCTAAGATCAATCCCTAGTAGCACCCCCACCAAAAAAAAAAGAAAGATTTTTAGATTAATATTTTGGTTTTTGCTCATAAAATTTTTGCATTGGTACCAACAATAGGTATTTTCATGTAAATATTTAATTTCTTACTTGTTGCTGTTAGTCATTTTGAAAGCTTAAAATGTGTGAGGAACCAGAGCAAAATTTCATCATCATTAAACCACAAACTTGACTAAAAGGCAAAAAAAGTAGGAAAAACTGTACTGGAAGATCTACAAATTCCCACAACCACCTAGAAATAATTTTAGGAAAAGCATTTTACTATAAGCTCACAGAGAGAGACTCTTGAAAAAGAAGAATTAGTATTACTTTCTTGCCTTTCACCTTTTGGTCAGACTTGGTCAGTGAGAGGAGCAAGACAAGTCAATCTACATAATTTAAACTGTCTGCTTGTGCCATACAGGTCAGGTTTTTTGCTTGTTTTTGGTTTTGTGTACATCAAACCTCTGCCCTTACTCTCTTAGTCAGCTTTCTATCTTTCTATCACTGAGACAAAATATTAAGAGAATTAATATATAAGGCTCCCAGTTTAGGAGGTTTCATTGATTTTGGGGCCTGTGGGCAAGGCAGCGTACCATGGTAGGAGTACAGAACGCTCAGTAGCTTCCCCGAGGCATCCCCCCATCTTAAAGTTTCCCCCAAGTCCTAACAGTGCCACACTAGGGCCAAGTCTTTAACCCAGGGGCTTTGGGGTACATTCTACATTTAAACTATAGTACTGGTGCATGCTAGGCCAGTGCTGTGCCACTGAACTTTATCTCCAGTCCCCATGTCAACTGGAAATAGTCTCACTTCTGAATCAAACAATATTTTTTATTATACTGCTTAAATACGATGGTAAGAATTCTTTTTGAAAACTTTTGGGTATGTGTCTTATTTCATTATAAAAATTTAATTGTGTACCAAATGAATATAACATTTTTCAGAATAACATTAATCAGAAATAAAAACATAAGATGAATAACTACAGCACATAACTTAAAAATATAGAATATTTTTCTTCATAGAAATTTCTCGTACATAGGTAACTAGAAGTGTAACTGAAGTTGTGAGATATGTGCATTTCAGTTTATTGAAAAAAAATCTAAATTGTCTTTCAAGGTACATTTATTAATGGCATTTGCTTCTGTATTATATGAGTTTGTGTTCTTCCAGCACAGACTTTGCCAGCACTTAATAGGGCCCAATTTCGGCATATTTTGCCAATCTAGTGATTCTTAATGTTTTCTCCTTGTGGTCCTAATTTGTCTTGCCCAGATTAATGAAATAAATTGTCTTTTAATAGAACAAAAAATGACCCAAAGAAAATTAAGTGACCTGTCAAGATGATATGCATTGGTTTTACCAATAGATCTTCTGCTGCAGTTTACTTCTTGGTATGATGAGCCAGGCACTACACTTAGACTACTGTATGCACTATTTTAATTGAAATGTGCAACAGTATTTCAAGGTAGACTCTCCTTACACCTATTTTATAAATAGGGAAATAAAATATCTGGGAGAGAGATTGAGGAAACATGGGCACCCACATCACTCACAGACACAGGTCTTGAAATCCAGGCTGAGTCTGGAACCCATGTTTCAAATCACTACTGATCTTACTGTATTTTTGGGAACTGTGTATGGAGATATACAGGTAAAGCTGTATGGATATACTGTACCTAGGTATATATTATGAATCAATAAGCAAGATATAACATTATTTTTGTAGATTTTCAAACAATAACTAAAATGGCATTTCAGCTGCAGAGTACACAGGGGGAACAGAAGCAGGACACTCATTGTTTCTTCTTTCTACTGTACCTTCTCTACCACAGGAACCATAAGAGCTAGATGCTACATTTCCCAGACTCCTTTGCAACCTAACTCCTGGAGGTGCCTTTAGATTCTGTCAATCAAATGTGGCAGAACTGGAGCAGAGGCCAGACATCTGTTGTTCCTGCTGCCACAATGGTTTCTTTGCTGTCCGATTAACAGAGGTCCTGGGCTGTGGTCACTGGCTTGAAAGGATTGAGAGCAGGGCCTGTGGCATCCATTCTGAGGGTACAGATACTTACAGGCTCAGTGTGATTCCAGAGCCAGCAATAGAGCTGTGGCTATTGTGGTGAGATACTGATTATGGTGGTTTCCTAGCCTAACATGATGGCTTCCTAGTTGTGATAGATTGCTATGGTTATGATGTCAGCGGTCTTTTGATCAGCAAACGGGCACCTCCCTTAGTGACTCATGCAGGTTTGGATAGCTTTCTGGGGCAAAGCAAGAAGATATTGAAGTTCACGACTTGCCAAAAGCAGGGACCAAAATAAATTCCTTGCTGAAGAACTGGATCCTCAGAGGAAGGGTGAACTGGAGGAAAACCAGTCTTCAGACAGACTGCAGTCCAGCTGCAAGGTTTCTGCATGGCCCCAAATATCTTAACTCCTGAAATGGAAATAAGTAATTCTGGACTTATGGTCATGAAGCAAATTAGAGTGGTTCTGGAGGAAGGAAATACATAAACTTCAAATTCTTTCAATGGCAACTTTTAATACAGCATATACCTCACTGAGACCATGATAATCAAGCATATATAACAATATGAACGAGAACCAGCAGAAACTTACAATAGCAATAGAAAATATACAGAAACTATAGATCAGAATTCTAACAAAAGTCTAGTGCATGTCACAAATGTAATTTAAAACTTTCTAGTAACAACATTAAAATGGTAAAAATAATTTGTAAATATTTTTCTTTAACTCAAAATATTTTAACTGATATTTTTATTTAATCCTGATGATTTCAACACATACTCACCACAGGCCACATCATCATGTCCTCTCACAGCCCAAGCCACCTTCTTCCCATCAAAGTGCTACCAAACAAATGATGAATCCAGGATCTGTGAAAAAAATAGGCATTGCTTGCAGTGCACTTGGACTCAACCATAGAACACTAATGACAGGGACACTGCATGTTATAACCAGGAAGATGCATCTTTTGACCAAGAGTGGAGACCAAAACTATTGTAAGAAAGAATTCCTGCAAAATAAGAGCAGAGAAAGGTAGAGTTCAAATAGTACTTGGTAAGGAAGTTCTACAAGCTGAAATCATACAGAAGGCAAGCATATTCCTTTGAGATAAGGATTACTGATATAAAGAGATACGAAATATTCTGACCGTAACAAAAATGGATAGCATCCTTTGAAAGGAGCAAACTTTTAATATCGTGGGAAAATAAAGAAAAAATATCTTCTGCATAAAAAAATTAGAAAAAGGAAAATAAAAGTAATTATCTGCTTATGTCAAGCTCAAATTCAATATTTCTCACGTGCCTAACAAAGCAAAATATTCTCATGAGAAATGCATGTTGTTGGCTTCTCGTTTTATGTTCACACACCCTTTTTTAGATAAATAAATATTAATTCACTCTATTTTTAATTTGCATCCAGTAGTGCAAGCATCAGAGGCTTCAATGTTATTCATCTTTGTTGCTTGTTTGTTTGTTAATTTGTTGGGGAGGAGGGACCTTAGACAAAATGATTTGCAAAAGGAGATCTGAAATACACCACAGAGAATCTCTACATCTGTACAACTACATGCTGGGATCCTAATTAGAATATGATGTACTCCATGTTTGTATAAATATGTCAAACCACACTCTACTGACATGTATAACTAAAAAGAACAAACAAAGAAAATAAATAAATAAGAAGAAGATTGGAAATAAGTTTGCTTCTAGTGGGAACATTTCCTGTCCAGTGTTGCTAGGTCACATTGTGTCTGTCAACCAGAGCTAAACAGTTGCCTATGTTGTTTCTAGGCAGAAAAATACTCCCATGGTGGTAAATATTGAGGCATCCCATGAGGTGGCTCAAGTAATAAGTATTTCCTTGCTCATTTGCACTCTTTTATTTATTTATTTATTTTTTTCTGGTACTGGGGATTGAACTCAGGGTCACTTGATCACTGAGCTACATCCCTAGCCCTATTTTGTATTTATTTAGAGACAGTTTCTCACTGAGTTGCTTAGTGACTCTGTTTATGAGGCTGGCTTTGGACTCTAGATCCCCCTGTCTCAGCCTCCCTTATTCCTGGGAACACCAACCTGCCCAGTCCATTTGTACTCTGAAAAGTATAATTCTCCTGACTTTTTACATGTTTTCTTTGGTGCTATTCTGTATGTAAAATCCAGAATTGATGATTTCTTTTCAAAGAAAATATGTTACTATAATTCACACAAATCTAAGTCTAATCTTAAAAATATTTACATACATTTATGATTTATGCCTTAAACTTTTGTTAGGGGGATCCAAGATGGCAGGCTGGAGAGAGGCTGCATTCTGTATTGCTCCATGATCAGGGATTCTAGTAGTGGGAATACTGTTTCTCTGTGAGTTACTAGAGGACCCCGACAGCTGCTCCCATACAGGAACCCTGGCCACTGTGCCCATGCAGGTCTCCAGTCCTCAGCACCCACACAGGAACCGTGGCCACCCACCTGCACAGGAATCCTGACCTCCTATCCATGCAGGATACCAGGGAGCTGCCCACACGCAGAACCTCTGGCCACCATTCTCATGTGCACCCTCATCTGCCAACGTAGAGCTCCCCGATTGCCTCCATCTTGGGACACTGTAACCACTGCCATAGTTCCCTACACGTGGTAGCCACCACCTGATGACACAGGACAGGTTCTGGAGACAGCCACCAGCCACAGCACTGCATGCGACTCAGCTGCATCTCTGAACACTCCACCCAGTGCCACCACCCAGCCCAACTTGACCTGACACCCCATCTCTAAAAGCAACCACCTCTATCTTTGAACACCTTTGTAGCCATCTTTAGTTGCGGCAATTCCCAGCTTGGGACACTGGCTGGGGCCCTGAAGCAACAACAAGGACCTATACTTCCCAACACCCACCTCTCCCCCGCAGCCACTAAAGCGGCACAGTGCTTGTGGCAATGCAGCTGGTTCATACCTCGCAAAGCCTGACCCCGGACTGCCCAATAGAAAATAGCTCTCCATAACAGGTGCATATCCCCCAGAGCACAGCCTACAAGACCTCCAGAGAAAGAGGTTCCTAATTGGGAAGTAGAAAGGGAGAGGGTGAATGAGATACAGTTGTGTCCGCCGAAAACTAAAAAATAAATATTAAAATTCTCTCTAAAAAACTATACAGATTTAATGCAATTTCAATCAAAATCCCAATGGCATTCCTCATAGAAATAGAAAAAGCAATCATGAAAATCATCTGAAAACATAAGACACCCAGAATAGCTAAAGTGATGTTTAGCAGGAAAAGTGAAGCAAGTGGCATCACTATACCAGATCTTAAAATATACTACAGAGCATAGTAAAAACAGCATGGTATTGGCACCAAAACAGACTGGTAGACCAACAGTACAGAATACAGGACACAGAGACTAACCCACAAAATTACAATTATCTTATATTAGACAAAAGTGCCAAAAACATACATTGGAGAAAAGATAGACTCTTCAACAAATGGTGCTGGGAAAACTGGAAATCCATATGCTGCAAAATTAAATTAAACCTCTATATCTCACTATGCACAAAACTCAATTCAAAGTGGATCAAGGACCTAGGAATTAAACCGGAAACCCTGTGTCTAATAGAAGAAAAAATAGGCCCTAATATCCACCATGTGGGATTAGGCCCCAACTTTCTTAATAAAACTTCTTTGGTGCAAGAATTAAAATCAAAAATCAATAAATGGGATGGACTCAAATTAAAAAGTTTCTTCTTGGCAAAAGAAACAATCCATCAGGTCAATACAGAGCCTACATTCTGGGAATAAATATTTACCCTTCACACATCAGATGGAGCACTAATCTCTAGGGTATATAAAGAACTCAAAAAGCTAAACACCAAAAAACAAAAAACACAATAAATGGGCCAAGAACCTGAACAGACACTTCTCAGAAGATGATATACATCAATCAACAAATATATGAAAAAATGTTCATCATCGCTAGCAATTAGAGAAATGCAAATCAAAACTATTCTAAGATTTTATCTCACTCCTGTCAGAATGGCAGTTATTATGAATACAAACAATAATAGGTGTTGGTGAGGATGTGGAGGGGAAAGGTATACTCATACACTGCTTGGTGGGGCTGCAAATTGGTGCAGCCAATATGGAAAACAGTGTAGAGATTTCTTGACAAATTGGGAATGGAACCACCATTTGACCCAGCTATTCCTCTCCTCGGTCTATATCCAAAGGGCTTAAAAACAACATACTACAGGAACACAGCCACATCAAATTCACAATAGCTACATTGTGGAACTAAGATGCCTTCAACAGATGAATGAATAAAGAAACTGTGGTATATATACAGAATGGAATATTACTCAGCATTAAAAGAGAATTAAATCATGGCATTTGAAAGTAAATGGATGGAGATGGAGAATATCATGCTAAGTGAAGTAAGACAATCCCAAAAAACCAAAGGCTGAATGTTTTCTCTGATACGTGGATGCTGATCCACAATGGTGATGGGTGGGGAAAGAAAGGGAGGAATGGAGGAACTTTAAATAGGGCAAAGGGAAGGGAGGGGAAGGAAAGGGTATGGGATAGGAAAGGTGGTGGAATGAGATGGACATCAGTACGCTAAGTACATGTATGAAGTCCAAATGGTGTGTACAGAGACAAAAAAATTATGCTCTATAAGTGTACTATGTATAACACATTATAATAATAAAAATTTTGAAAAAAAACTCAGCCATAAAATATCTCATAATATCTGATTATGAAGCTGAAAGTATGACTAGTGTTAAAGGCTATGATTAACATGTGCTTCCAGTGACTGAAAAGGAGTGTATGTTTTATTAAAATAACTATCATAATTACAGTAAATGTTTTTTTTGAAATCTATAAAATCCTGAAGGTCAAAGTGTACTTAATGTAGTTCGAGAATTCACTTTGTCTAAAAGCTAAATTGTTTTTACTGAAAAAAAAGAATTATTTTTCCCCATGCAAACCTGAAGATGGTGCTGCATGGAAATATGATTTTCAGAATTGACAGGTTGGTACGATGACTCATGCAGAAGTAATACCATGCATCTCTTTTTACTTCTGTAGCCTGGGAATATGCCTCATAAATTGAAAAATGCCTACATATTTCTAACATACTTCCAAAGATAAGGAGGAGTGTTAGATCAATGAATTTGGTTTTTATAAAAGGGAGGTGAAGGCAAGATTAGTAGTAGCTGAATAAAAGTGAAACATTAAATTTGTCGTATCTATGACTGCAACCATGAAAAGAAGAGAAACAAATTAAACCTCCCCATATCCATGAGACCATGATTGGCAACGAAGTAGACTGTAGAACTCAGCAGAGGCAACAAACCAGCATAGCCTTCTGGCTCCCTTCCCGGATGGCCCTGAGAAACAAGTAAGAAGCAAGCACAGTAACAGATTCCTGGACAGCCACCCTGGTCACATGGGGACAAAGGAATATTATTTCTAAAGCATTGAAGGAAAGAACTTTATATCCAGTCAAATTCTCATTTAAATGGGAAGGAGTTGGTATTCATTTTTTATTGCAGTCATGACAAATTATCCCAAACCTAGCTGCTTTTCAACACATTTATTATCTTACAATTCATTAGGTCAGAAATCTGAGTTGGCTCAACTGATGTCTCCACTTTGGATTTCAGAAGGTCAAAATCAAGATGCTGAAGAGCTAAACTGTGATGCGGAAGCTTTGAAAAAGCTGTGCTTCCAAGGGCATTCCGATTGTTGGCAGAATCCACTTCCTTGCTGGCTGTGAGCAGGGCACTCCTTCACTTTAAGAGGCCTCTCTCTGGTCCACACACCTCAGATCCAGCAACAGCACATCTAATCCTTCTCTTGCTTACAGTCAAACTTCTCC